AAGTGCACTTATCCTTTAGACCAGGCCTGGTATAATGAGGCTGCAGAGATTGCAGAAACAGGATGGGGGGGGGGGGAATGCAGAATCAAAGCTGCAAGCAAGTAAATTGCTGTCTGTCCCATAGGGAAGGTTTCCCTTCACTTCCTGTCTCGGAGACACAACAGGAAATAAAAGGAAACTATCCACAGAGAAGGGAAATCCAATTGTCTCCTGCTTTGGTCACAACTCTAACAGGGTTATTCACAAAAGGGTGAAGAGTTTGGAGAAGTGAACAATCTAGGGCAACAGAGCTGAACTGGAAGGTGAGCTGAATTGGAGAATGTTTCCATATCGGCTATTTTGGCCTAGATTGTTCACTTCTCTAAACTCTTCACCCTTTTGTGAATAGCCCTGAAAAACTTGAAACTTCCATCAGTTCCTGAATGGCGTCAGTGGCCCCCAGGACAGACAGAGATGGTGAATCTCCTCCTTCTGAATGAGGCGTAAGGAGAGTGTTGAGTCCAGAGGATCAGCATGACATCCAAGTAAAAAGGCATTGTCAACAGGACAGCTTAGCAGTGGCAGCTTTCATGTATCTCCCATGACGAGTTTCTTTTAAGGGTTAAGGTTAGGATATTAGGGTTTGAGATGGTGAAGGGTTCAATGGAAGTGATAGGTTAAGTATTAAGAGGTTTATTTATAAAAAAGTGGCAGAGCCGTTTGTCCTGTCAAACTGCATACACATCCGTTTTGTGTGAATGGAGGCAAACACGAATGTTCTTAGTATATTTTCTTTTTGGGACAAATGCAATTCAGCCATAAGGTTACAATGAATCGGGGAAGTACTACATAATGGTCATAGGAGCATAGGGAAGAAATACTGATAATGACCTCTAGATAGAGCTGAGGAGCATAAGGGAGAGATACTTATAATGGGACATTAGACGGAGCATAGGGAAGAAATACTTATCATGGCCACTAGATGGAGCTGAGGAGCATAGGGAAGAAATACTTATCAAGGCCACTAGATGGAGCTGAGGAGCATAAGGAAGAGATACTTATAATGGCCACTAGACGGAGCCGAGGAGCATAGGGAAGAAATACTTAAAATGGCCACTAGATGGAGCTGAGGCGCATAGGAAAGAAATACTTAGAATGGCTACTAGATGGAGCTGAGGCGCATAGGAAAGAAATACTTATAATGGCCACTAGATGGAGCTGAGGAGCATAAGGAAGAAATACTGATAATGGCCACTAGATGGAGCTGAGGCGCATAGGAAAGAAATACTTAGAATGGCTACTAGATGGAGCTGAGGAGCAGCATAGTAAAGAAATACTTATAGTGGCCACTAGATGAAGCATAGGGAAGAAATACTTATAATGGCCACTAGATGGAGCTCAGGAGCATAGGGAAGAAATACTTATAATGGCCACTAGATGAAGCTGAGGAGCATAGGAAATAAATACTTATAATGGCCACTAGATGGAGCTGAGGAGCATAGGGAAGAACTACTTATAAATGGCCACTAGATGAAGCTGAGGAGCATAGGAAATAAATACTTATAATGGCCACTAGATGGAGCTGAGGAGCATAGGGAAGAACTACTTATAAATGGCCACTAGATGAAGCTGAGGAGCATAGGGAAGAACTACTTATAATGGCCACTAGATGGAGTTGAGCATAGGAAAGAAATACTAATTTCCTCCACAGCTCCATCTAGTGGCCATTATGTGGTATGGTCCTGAAATCACATTTAACCTGGAAAGAAATGTACTAATAACTTTCATGTTTGCCTCCATTCGTACAGGACAAATGTACATGCTGTGTGGCAGGGCGAATGGCTCTGTGAATTTTAGGGATTATTGTTAGTGGGAAGTAAAGGATTAGGATATTATTGTAGGGACTAGGTTTTAAGGGTCAGATGTGAGGAGGGTTTAGTGTTGGGGTCACATTTAGGTTAAGGTTAGAGCATAGTGGGTGGTACTTTTTCCTGCACTGAAAGCCCTGTACGGAGCACTGAACAGTTTTCTTGGTGCCGACACATAATGTGCCACCACAGTCGGGGTCAAGGATTTGGAGAATCAGCAGCACAGGTCTCTCTCTCTGGCGGGGTCTGGAGGACAGGACGTGCCCTCTAAAGAAGGTTTGTGATACTCTGATCTGTACCTGGTCTGTAATGTGTCACTCCGTGTCTTGAAGTGCTCATGAGACTGAGGAGAGGTTTTTGTTGATTCATTTATTTGTTTTCTGGGATGACATAACGAGTTTAATGTTCTGTAATAATAATAATAATAAACTCTGTGAAGGAAAAGTGACGCTGGAGGACGGCCCGATTCTGTAAAGGGGAACTTCCTGCTGGAGGGTGAGAAGACGGCAATGGCAGCTTCCATGTTTGGCTTAGGAAAGGCTTCCTATAAAGGATAAGTGAACCCTGATTCATAGTTTATTTATCCTTTTGGCCCCTTTTATATACACTCCTCCCCCCCAACTTTCACAGATGCATACTTATAGAGTTCTGAAGGGCCCAGCCTCCATTGTTTACATCTTGGAGCAAATGTCTCCCCCTGCTGGCCAGGCCTGCGCAATACATCCTCATTGGCTTCTATGGTGCCAAGGCATGGGGCTCTGATGTGAAGGGGGCTCTGATGTAAAGGCAATGGGGCTCTGATGTGAAGAGGAACTCTGAGGTGAAGGTGGTCAAATATGAAAATATAGACATTTTTATTAATATAAAATGGACAGTGTGGCTGGTGGGAGGGGGGGGACATAAATTCTCAGCCCTCCTCTCTGATCCTTCTTGATTAGAATAGAGGCTGGCTCAGTGGCACCCCCTAGAGGGCCCACAAAAAGCTGCTGCAGAAGGCAAGAAATACTTAATGGCCACTAGATGAAGCTGAGGAGCATAGGAAATAAATACTTATAATGGCCACTAGATGGAGCTGAGGAGCATAGGGAAGAACTACTTATAAATGGCAGCTAGGAAGCTCTTTTTGTAGTCTCCTGTACCATCAAAGAAGAGCTCCCCTGTAACATCACAAGGAACCTTTGCAATCCCTATTTGAGAAGGAGTCCTGTCCAGATATTTCTTCTGTTTCATTATCTGGACTCCAAACATCCAATGCATTTTGGGGGCAACAACACTCCCCTTCATTAGATCTCATTCTAAGCCCTGATGAAGGGGGCCTTTGTTGTCCCTAAAACGTGATGAGCCTTTTTGTTTGATCGAATTTGGAATATTTAAAGGCTTCTTTGGAATCTTTCACCTTTAGGTTTGGCGCCCTTTATCTGATACCTTCATTTGAATGGGCTGCCAACACACCACGACACAGGGAAAAGCTTTTATACTCACCACTGCCTCACTGCACAGGAGCCAGGAAGGTGACACCCTTATATTCCTGATTCAGCGGTGCATGTTTCCTGTGTCACCTCTCATTAGATAAAAATGCATCCAATAGATTTCCTTTGAGTGTAGCATTCTAATTTCGTTCAGCTGCTTTCTGAATTTTGCCCAGCAGAGGGCAGCCTGTGCTCTCTGCCGCCTGTGACACCTCCCTGAAGCAGCAGGTGGCGCTGTTGTTTGTGTAGCAGGCGGTGATCGAGAGCCGGTGATCGATCAAAACTACGAACTTATCGAGTTGTGGGACCACATTACTTCCGGTTTCCTCAGAACTACGAGGTTTTTACACAAAACATGTTGTGCACGAGCGCCATCCACGGCATTGCCCTATAGACATAGACCACAGCAATAAAGTAATAAAATGATGTAGGATGACAGTAAGCCAGCGCGTTCTTTATCTCAGGTGCCCCACTCAAGCGGCGGCCATATTGAGTGGGGCACCGGAGATAAAGAACGTGCTGCCTTACTGTCATCCTACATCATTTTATTACTTTATTGCTGCGGTCGAAGTGTATAGGGCAATGCCGTGGATGGCGCTCGTGCACAACATGTTTTGTGTGCAAACCTCGTAGTTCTGAGGAAACCGGAAGTCATGCGGTCCCACAACTCGATAAGTTCGCACTTTCGACACATCACCGGCGGCCATTTTCTTGGAGACCGGTGATAAGTGCTCGGCAATATTGCTGCTAGTACGATGTTCTTAAAGGACATGTCCGCTTGTCTCAAGTGCCTGGCGTGTGTGACGTCGTCAGTGTGCGTCCAGTGAGTGTTGTGAAGGTCCTGGGCAGGTGAGGACAGGAAGGGGACACACAGGGGTTCTGTTTAGACTTATCATGCTGTCATTGTTCCTCACATCCACCAATCAGATTCCAGCCTGGAAGGAGGGGGGATTTCTGGAGATGAGACTGTGTGTGGTCTCTGCCATGCTGGAGCTATACATCGGGTGTATACAGGGAGGGAGGTGTATATAGTAGGGTTGTAAGGAAATTCTGGGGGGGGGCGGTTTCGTTTCATGTGCTGGGACCCATAGTGACATTGTGTTGCCAAGGGCTCAGGTTTGCTGGGGGGATAATGGCAGGGTGGGGGTGACAAGGAGGTGCTGGGGGCTGGAGATGACAGAGCAGAGCTCGGAGTGCAACAAGATAAAGCAGCTGTGAGGTCCCAAGTAGCAGAGTTGGGGTCCCTGGAAGATGAAGAGGTTTGGGGGTCCCAAGATAACGGAGCAGAGCTGGGGTCCCTGGAAGATGAAATGTCCCGGGGGTCCCAAGATGACGGAGCAGAGCTGGGGTCCCTGGAAGATGAAGAGGCTCGGGGGTCCCAAGATGACGGAGCAGAGCTGGGGTCCCTGGAAGATGGAAAGGCTTGGGGGTCCCAAGATGATGGAGCAGAGCTGGGGTCTCTGGAAGATGAAGAGGCTCGGGGGTCCCAAGATGACAAAGCAGAGCTGGGGTCTCTGGAAGATGAAGAGGCTCGGGGGTCCTATGATGACAAAGAGGAGCTGGGTGTTCTAGATGATGTAGTGGTGCTGAGTGCCAAGATGATGGTGCAGTGTTGGGGTCCTGGAATAACTAAGTGGCGCTAAGGTTCCAGGATGATGGAGTAGAGTTGTGATTTCTGGAATGATGGAGTGGCTCTGAGGTGCCGGGATAATGGAGCAGAGTTGGGGTAATGGGATGACGGAGTGGCTCTGGAGCCCTGGGGTAATGGAATGTAGTGGCCCTGGGGTAATGGAGTGGCTCTGGGCCCCCCAGGGTAATGGATTGGCTCTGAGGTCCCGGGATGACGCCGGTAGCTGTAAGCTGACATTTCATGACAGGTTCTCTTTGCACACCAACGACCATTCTATCTGATTTCTCTCCTATGTGCAGGAATACGATGTCGGCGCCGACCGCGCAGGAGAGAAAAGCATGCTGGGACGCCCGGGACAGGTACTGGCAGTGCCTGGATGACACTCGGGAGGACAAGGACAAGTGCCAACAGTTCAGGAAAGGCTTCGAGGAGAACTGCCCACTGACATGGGTAAGTCACATGATCACCACGGCCAATCGGCAGCGCTATACGAATCCCTGTACAGCAGCTTGTTATATAATCCGGAGATTAGGAAAATGGAGAAGCCAATCAGATCCCGGCCCCCCGACCACGGACAGGAGACCGTTTCCTCTTCTCACCTTTCATAAATAGTTGTATGTTTGGCCGCCGCGGTTCGTTCACAACTTTATCGGCCGTGAAAAGGGATTTAGAGTTTTGCTGAAAAGAAAAAGAACTTCCTGATCCTCTATATACATCGCAGGGATTTCATCACATCGTTACCTACGTACATTGTGTGAATATAAATCGTCCCAGGGATTGCTGTGCGGTAAGGACATTGCCGGGGATGCCAGATCTCATTTAGTCATTTGATTCGGGTCCTGTGCAGGCTGTTTACAGGAGTAGGCGGGGGTGGGGGGAGGATTCTGGGGTGCATTGTCTGCACTGACTACTGATGGAGGGAGGAGAGATTAGAAACATTTTTGGGCTGATTAATAAAATCCTGAAGGGTCGTTTTGTAACATCATAAAGGCGACATTCACACTCAGCTGTCGTCATCCATACACACCACATTCAATGGGATTGTGTGCCATAGAGATCAGTGGCCTCTTCTGCTGTGCAGCTCCCAAAACCACCACACGAGGGCGCTCATGAGAGACAACAAAGCGCCCGCTGAGGGATCCCAGAGACCACCACCAGACTTCCCTTCAGCACAAAGCTTCCCATAAAACGATTCTTTACAATGACTGAAATGTTATGTTTTATTTTATTTCGGGGAGTCGCGGGGCGGCCGTCATCTTTCCCTGCCACCAGCTCATTCATTGTCACAACAATCTCCCATAAGATTCCATGTGCATGTTATTAACCTGTAAAAGGTTTCCAAAAGCCCGGAGACTGTTGCTATGCGCCTCCATCTTGGATGTGATGTCAGCAGACTCAGGGCGGTCACTCAAGTGACACTCCATAGTATTCCCCTTTGCTCCTCCTCCAAAAGCTACATGAAAAGGTTATGTAGGGAGGGGCAAAGGAACTGGGCCAGCACAGACAGTATTTAGACACTCCCAGAAGAAGAGAGGGGTTAAAGGAGAACTATGGGGTTAGGGCTTTTCCCCATAGTTCTCCTTAGGGTAACGGGAGGACACAAACTAGCGTCCTCCCGTCACCCTAGGCTCAGTATATAGGGAGCTGTAGCTCGCGGTATACTGAGACGCCGCAGCTGAAGCGGATCCCGAAAATTGTGCCGGGATCTGCCCAGCTGCGTGACTGACAGCTGACTCTGCCTATCTAGAGGCAGCGCCAGCTGTACCCGCCCCCTCCCCCGTCCGTTCTGCCAGTCAGCGCTGGAGGATCGGACAGGGGAGGGGGGGAATCCAGCCCCTCCCCTGTCATGGCAGAGAACCGTGACAGGATCGAGAGGTGAGCGAACGCCGGTATGTGTTCGCTCACCTCCCGATCTACTGAGCCGACCTGTGACAGTCTCATTGTCACAGGTCGGCTAGAACTATGAGGAGGAGTGAAAAGCACTCACCACATAGTTCTCCTTTAAGCTATGCAAGGAGGTAGGGGGGCTGTGCTGGGGAATTGACTCTTCCTGGAGTAGTCAAATTTTCTATCACGTTCAGTGGCACATTGCAAGTGAATAAAACAATCAAAAACCCAAAAAGCTGCAAGTCATCATATAAGTTCTTGATTTTTCTATGTTTTACCTGCAATTATTTAAGCTGGTGACAGGGTCTCTTTTGAGTTTTGGGCTGTCCATTTCAATGGTTGAGGAGTATCTAGGTAATCACTTTGATCACATAGTGGACAAGTCCCGTAAGGCAAGATTAAAGCTCATCGAGGTATACAGTAAAGTGTAGAACGTAGTGTAACATTTAGAGAGTAATATACATAGCAAACAATAGAATAAAGTAACTTATAGAACCAGAGCTACCATGGTTAAGGAAGGAATTAATACAGTTCTCGTGTGAGTGTGGGAAATGCTTCAGAGGGACAGGGTCTCTTTAAAGCGTACGCCTGGGCAAAATACAAAAAGAACTTGTGCAGAGGGCGTTATCAGCTCGCAAGCTTTCTGGCAGGATCAACAGGGTTTCTTTTAATGGAATATTAAATGGACCAAAAGGGAGCACATTAGAGAAGGTCATTGTTGGGGTTTCCATACACATTGCAGTATCTTTACAAACAATTCACAGAGCCATTCACCTTGCGAATCTCTGTGAACGTTCCTTCTGTGCGAACAGAGGTACAAACAAATGTTCTTAAAGGAGAACTATGAGGTGAGTGCATTTCACTCAGCCTCATAGTTCTAGCCGACCTGTGACAATGAGACTGTCACAGGTCGGCTCAGTAGATCGGGAGGTGAGCGAACACATACCGGCGTTCGCTCACTTCTCGATCCTGTCACAGCTCTCTGCCGTGATAGGGGAGGGGCTGGATTCCCCTCTCCGATCTGCCAGCGCTGACTGGCGGAACGGACGGGGGAGGGGGCGGGTACAGCTGGCTCTGCCTCTAGATAGGCAGAGCCAGCTGTCAGTCACGCAGCTGGGCGGATCCAGACATAATTGTCGGGATCCGCTTCAGCTGCGGCGTCTCAGTATACCGCTAGCTGTAGCTCCCTATATACTGAGCCTAGGGTGACGGGAGGACGCTAGTTTGTGTCCTCCCGTTCCCCTAAGGAGAACTATGGGGAAAAGCAAAAGCCCTGACCCCATAGGTCTCCTTTAATTGATTTTCTTTTCAGGTTGAATGTAATACCACAGTATGGCCAGTAGTTGGCGCTGAGGAGCATAGCAAAGATGTATTTATGATTTAGGCTCTTCAGCTCCACCTAGTGGCCATAATGTGGTATTACATTCAACATGAAAAGAAAATCTATCCAGAATGTTTGTTTTTACTTCTGTTCGCACAGAGATTTTCAGGGTGAACGGTTTATAAATAGACCCCAATGTGTATGGAAACCCCCAACAATGACCTCTATTGTCTAATACACCACAGACCCCTATGCCCACATTCTTCTATAGGTCCTCAGCTGCACACACGGCCCCCTGTACGTGTTCTAGGATCTGGAGCCGGATGGAACGTTTGCTGATCTTTTGTCTTCTCTCCCCCAACAGATGAAATACTTTGATAAGAGACGAGATTATCTGAAGTACAAAGCCAACATGGAGTCTAAAGGATTCGAACCTTCACAAAGCACCAAGAACTCCTAGGGGCCCCGACACATGGAGCCCCTTCTATGCAAAGACTGGAAGTTCTATCATTTGATTTTATCGGGAGCCGAATCTGGAACCGAAGGAGAGTCCTGACTGGAGCGATCCCAGATCCCGCGCTCTGTTTTGTATATACAGAATTTATTAAATGACCTTGGGATATGAATGAGGTGGGTGGAGTCTTCATGAGGTGGGTGGAGTCTTCATGAACGTCCGTCATCTTATTCTGATCGATCCTTTATAGATACAAACTCTTGACAGGCGACTGGGCACCTTGCGGAGTCTCAGGCTATTGAGGAACATAAGGCCGCTGCATCACAGTAGAACGATGGCCTCCTATTATTAATGACCCCCCCAAAGTCCTGTTGATCCTGCCCGTGATGTCAACCTAATGCAGCTTACTGTGATGGGGTGGCAACGATGCTGTACTGCTCCTGAATTCAGAGCAGAGTTGTCACTCCCATGTTGGCTGTGTCTGCACTACAGATGAGAAGATGTTACAGGGGGTGTGGCTATCAGCCTGTAGCTTGTCAATTAGCATCTGGCAACACCTAGTCCCGCCCACCGCTTTCTGGATTGACAGCACTGCCCCTGCTGCTGAAGCCCTCCCACTGTGATCTGCAGTGTCGGATACGGTGGCAACGATGCTGCACTGCTCCTTAATTCAGAGCAGAGTTGTCACTCCCATGTTGGCTGTGTCTGCACTACAGATGAGAAGATGTTACAGGGGGTGTGGCTATCAGCCTGTAGCTTGTCAATTAGCATCTGGCAACACCTAGTCCCGCCCACCGCTTTCTGGATTGACAGCACTGCCCCTGCTGCTGAAGCCCTCCCACTGTGATCTGCAGTGTCGGATACGGTGGCAACGATGCTGCACTGCTCCTTAATTCAGAGCAGAGTTGTCACTCCCATGTTGGCTGTGTCTGCACTACAGATGAGAAGATGTTACAGGGGGTGTGGCTATCAGCCTGTAGCTTGTCAATCACCACTTGGCCACACCCACTGCTTTCTGGATTGACAGCACTGCCTCTGCTGCTGAAGCCCTCCCACTGTGAGCTGCAGCGTCTGGGATGGGGTGCGAGTGAGACACAAATTAAGGATTTGTCTCGGTCAGGGAAGGAAAAGAAAGTTTTGTTTGCTCCACGAGGACTCAACTGTCCTAGATTTGCCGTGACAGTCCCGCATCATGAACCTCAGTCCGAATGCTGATGTGTCCCGGGATCACAATGTCTCTCTTATGCATGCGCACTAACGCAATAAGGACTTTATTAGGATGATCGGGGGCCAGGAGAGGGTGGTCCACCCATAATTGGGAGATGGGGGTTGGTTGGACCATTCTTGTAGGTGGGCGGGCCTGAGCCAGACCTTGGGTGGGGTTAACTGTGGCCCAGGGACCTTGGTGAGTATGCTCATGGCTGCTGGGAAAGGAATTGGATGGCGGACAGCCCAGTGCTGTCCTGTCTGGGGAACCATAGGAGGAATATGGCGATTTCTACTGACCAATCCAGAGTGGTGGAGATCTGTGCCCACCATGTCCCCACATCCTGCGCCCATGGGCTTTTCTCCGAGGCATCATCATGAGAATTCATGGACTGGTGGGACAATTGTCCTTCAAGTGGGTTTTGGGTTCCCATAGACCGGTGTGAGGATGCCAAACCCACTTGAAGTGAACCAATGCCCACCAACAATGGCCCTAACCCATCCTGACTAGAAGACCCCGTGTCCCCCCAACCCTTTAGATGCCACCATGTTCCAGAAGATCCATCACATTACAGGCCATGGTATAGGAGCTGATCGGAGCCTAAACCAAGGCAGCAGCCGGTGGAAGTTGAAGAGCTGAGCCTCCCAGCTCGCTGATTACAGATGAGATCTGTTCATGGCCGACATACGTCATCCAATGAGAGGAGAGCTGTACACAGGGCCGGATTCAGATACTCTAAAAAAAAATCGATATCTTTATTAAAACATAACAAAACATCATCATCATCATGTCAGGGAAATACAATGTGCCCCGCCCCCACAATCCACCCAAAGTGGACAAATCCTTCAACATCATCCCATTGTAAAGAATAAAAATGCGTAAAGTGGAACTCCAGACCTTTTTTTTTTTACATGTACAGAAAAGAACTCCCGAGGTTCTAACCCTCCCCTACAATCCGAGACACTGCTGAGAGCTACTAAACTTCTCCACCACCAGATGTGCTCAACTTTTCCAGGTATATTGATGGCCGCCGTCATTCAAGACACTGTATCTGTCACGGACCCGCCCCCAGCCTGGTGACTGGATGAGCTCATCTCTGACACTGTTCTCTGCCCCTATTGCATGCTCCTTGTGCAGCTTCTTCCTCCCCCTCTCTGAGCTCTGCTGTACAAGGGATGCTAGAGGCCGATATCAGGTCCTCGCACTGCTTATATTTAACAATTGAGGGATCGAGGATGACAGATCTGCGTCTTCTGTCTGCCCGGAGAACACGTGGCAGAGCTGATCCTTCCCTCCACTGACTTCAGTTTATAGCACCGCTTGTGGGTACATGTGAGGGCTCCCAGAATGCCGTGCTTCATAGAAGACATGACCTATGCCAAGGCAAACATCGCCCGAGAAGGGGAAAAAGAGGAAATTATGAATGTAGACGATATTGTGCCCACTGGAGGGCGTCACTCAGTCATGGCATTGTGCCCACTTGGGGGCTTCACCCTGTCAGTCACGGTATTGTACCCACTGGAGGGAAAGGTTAAAGCTGAACTCGGGGAAAACAAGCCCTTGAAGTGCCCCCACATGTTCTTTGGTGATGAATTACTCCACAGTGCCTGCAACTACAGGGGCCATTATTGATGGTTCAAGAACACTGAGAAGCGTTTTGGAATCCAGAGGAGCGTCCCGGGATCCAGAGCAGCGTCCCGGGATCCAGAGCAGCGTCCCGGGATCCAGAGGCGTGTCCCGGAATCCAGAGGAGCGTCCCGGGATCCAGAGGCGTATCCTGGAATAAAGGAGCGTCCCGGGATCCAGAGGGGTGTCCTGGAATAAAGGAGCGTCCCGGAATCCAGAGGAGCGTCCCGGAATCCAGAGGAGCGTCCCGGGATCCAGAGCAGCGTCCCGGGATCCAGAGCAGCGTCCCGGGATCCAGAGGCGTGTCCCGGAATCCAGAGGAGCGTCCCGGGATCCAGAGGCGTATCCTGGAATAAAGGAGCGTCCCGGGATCCAGAGGCGGGTCCTGGAATAAAGGAGGGTCCCGGAATCCAGAGGCGTGTCCCGGAATACAGAGGCGTGTCCCGGAATACAGAGGCGTGTCCCGGAATCCAGAGGCGTGTCCCGGAATCCAGAGGCGTGTCCTGGAATAAAGGAGCGTCCCGGAATCCAGAGGAGCGTCCCGGAATGCAGAGGAGCGTCCCGGAATCCAGAGGAGCGTCCCGGAATCCAGAGGTGTGTCTTGGAATAAAGGAGTGTCCCAGAATGCAGAGGCCTATCCCGGAATATAGAGGAGTGTCCCGGAACACAGCAACATGCGTTATACTTCCAATCCCTTCCATCATAAAGTAGTAAACGTAACATGGGATCGAACTTGAAGAAACCGTATCCAATACTAAGGAAATGTCCTTATATATATCAAACATGCTGTGTCATTAAAGGGGACCTGTCCTTCCACATTGTAACACATCACAGCAGCCCCCCTGGGTATAGGTGGAGTCACCATGTGCCCTAATATATTCCTTTTGAGGGTTCCTTCAGCAAGATCTTTCTGCTGTAGTCTCAGCCCCAATCCCCACCCCCCACCCCCCATTGGGTTTCCTCACGCTTCTGTTGCATTAAAGCAGGACCCCGGGTCAGACTTCTGGTGGAGTGTGGAAGGGTTAGAGCCTCTGGCAGATTTATATAACTGTCTCTGACCCCACTGGGGAAATTCACCCTCTACCATTTTGTACTTTCTTTGGTTTTCTGTCACCGGGGCCTATGGAAAGTTGTCACTGGAAAGGAAATGGAGGGGAGAACTTCCGATGGGGACACCTGTTCTGATGACAGCTCGGGAGAGATTTCCAGTCACTTCCTGGTGTGTCTCTGAAACAGGAAGGGAGGAGCAATCACTCCAAGGGTAACACAAAAGCACCAAAAGTGTCACTTTAAAAGTCCAGTGGGAGGCCCTCAGGTGTGCAGACTCCAGAATCCAGCACAGCAGGGTCTCCGGATACAAGAACCCATCAGGTGGGTCACCTCTTAGTTTTGGGCGGAGTGCCTCTTACTTCTCTTCTACGGCCTTCCAATGAGAATCTTCGTTCCCGGGCGCAGCGGGCCGCTAATTTAGACCGGTGGTTATTTTGGCCGCCGTGCAGCGTCTCTTGTGTCGCAGGAGGTTGCAGCTCTGGGAGAAGGAGCGGCCGCACTGGCGGCACACGAACGGCCTCTCGCCCGTGTGGACGCGCTGATGTTTGACCAGCGTGGACTTCAGGGCGAAGCAACGGCCGCACTCCAAGCACTGGAACGGCTTCTCCCCGGAGTAGCGGACGATGGTGGACCTGACCGTGAAGCTGCGATCCCCCACGCACGGGCTGGACGGCCGCTCCAGGTGGCAGCGCTGGTGCTTCACGAACGTCGACTCCGACTTGAAGGAGACGCGGCAGATGGCGCAGGAGAAGAGGTGGTTGGCGTTGTGAGCTTTCTGGTGGAAGGAGAAGTCGGAGAGCTCGGTGAAACATTCGTCGCACTCCGTGCAGTGATACAGCTTCACTTCCACTTCCGACCGGTCTGTCAGAGAGAAAACACACAGAGGTCACATGATCGAATGTGTTAGATCACACGGCACACACATCCTCCAATCCGAATGTACAATGTTATTCCCGGCTGTAAGATTTGCCTGGAGACAGCCGTCCAATCAGCAAGAAGCATCGGCCTTACTATCCCAACCTATCCCAACCCTTAACCTCCAACCGCTGACCCTATCCCAACCCTTAACCTCTGACCCTATCCCAACCTCTAACCTCTGACCCTATCCCAACCTCTAACCGCCGACCCTATCCCAACCCTTAACCCCTGACCCTATCCCAACCCTTAAACTCTAACCCCTGACCCTATCCCAACCCTTAACCGCTGACCCTATCCCAATACCTAACCTCCAACCACTGACTCTATCTTAACCCTCTAACCCCTGACACCATTCCACCCCCTTACTCTTATCCTTGATCCTATCCCATCCCCTAGCCAGCACTAAGTTATGCCCCTTCCAATCCATACAAAGGTTCTCTTTAGAACGTTTTTGGTGTTTCTGCATCAAGAAGAGCAATGAAAACACAATGGCTGCCGATCGCCCCGTCATGGCCAAAGGCAGCAATAAACCCATCAGAGGATCTCACCCTTCCCCCGCTCTATTCACTACCGTATAAATATGAGGAATTGGCTGGAATGGAGTACTGTGCGGTTCCATTCTCTTAGTTATCTCACCTGCTGAGATGTAGTCTGGCTCCGCCTCCTCCTCCTTACAATGAATGGTTCCATCTCCGGCCTCCGCCTGTCACACAAGAACACATGATGAGGATTGGGGAATGGACATGACCTCCATGATGGGGAGAAGATGGGCCGGGGAATGTTGGCTGTACCTGGTAATCCTCCGTCCTGATCTCCCTCCCCGTGCCGTCCTGAGGATAGGTGACACCGGCACAGCTTTCTGCCGGATTCCTCTTACTGCATCCGCCTGGAGAGAGACACAGAGAGGGACACTGAGGAGGTGACCCCATGGGAAGACTCACCTAGAAGCCCAAAACCTGCCGAGAGATCTACTGGGAGCGGCGAGTACATGACCCGGACATACCAGTCCGGTGCGGCATTTACATCTTCACAGCTGAACTCCGGGCAATCAGCCGGAATGCTGGAAAAAGTAAGTACACCCCAGACCCCAGAAGCTGGCACTGCCCCCTTGACTACATATGGGGGGTTCACATAACTGCCCAGCGGTCTCTGACATGGACTCGTGACATTTGTGGCCGACTCACCATGCAAAATCTCTTCAGCTAAAAGACGTTTGAGGGTTTCCTCACATGAGCTGCCCGTTTCAAATCCCACCACAGCATTTCCATGGGATTCAAATCAAGCCTGTGACCAGGTCAGTCCATTGCCCCCCATTTCTTGGTGGATTTGCTAGGGGGCTTCAGATCATTATCGTGTAGAAAGATCCATTTCTGGGTCAATTTCAACTTTCTGACAAATGGCCTCAAATTATCATCCAACGCACTTTGATATGATGCCGAGATCATAGCTGGCATGACGCTTGCAAGCTGCCCAGGCCCTGAAGCTGCAACGCAACCCCGAACCATAACATTTCTGCCACCATGCTTCACAGTTGGTGTTAGGATCTTCTCCTGAACGGCTGCCTTGGGTTTGCACCAAACATGTCCGCCGTTACACAGCTCTGCTACACAGCACAGCCCCGTCTGGCATAGCAGGAGACCTGATTTTTCTCTGCTACCGTTCTGTAAAACGTACAGGTCTTGTCCCTCCCCCAGCCTGTGACTAGACAGTAAAGGAGAAACAGTGGACTGATGAGGTTATCTCTCTCAGTCACTTTGCTCTCTCCTTCTATCAGTAGGCTCCTTGTCAGCACAGAAATTGGCTCCTGGTGCCGTGTCTCCCTCTGCCAGTCTGAGTTCTGTTGTACATTGACTGCAAGAGGCAGGCACCAACTCAAATTCTTGTACTTACACTGCTTGTATGTATGAAAAAGAATCAGATGCAGGCAGGGTTCATGTATTGAACAGCTGCAGAAGCAGAAGCTGCTGAATACAATAGCCAGCAGTGGGGATTCCTCCATCTATGCCGTTTAGGGTGGACGGGGTACTCTGATGATTTCTCTTGTTAGGCCAGTAGCTGACTGACGCCGGTTTCCCAGCGCCGTCTATGAGACACGAAGAACGTCCCCGAACGTGACTACTCTATGAAGATTCTGCGTCTCACCTGGGGTCATGTGATCAGCTTCTTCCTGCTTACACTGCTGGGGATAGGTCCAGGCTCCTTCCTGTACAGAACACAGGACATCAGTTCTTCACAGATCACCGGGATGGAAAGTACAAAATATTGGAGACAGAGCTGGCGGAACAATGGTACAGCTTCCTGATTGGCCGGGAAGCCGGCTCCATGCTCCTTTGTCATTTGGTGACGAGGGAGCATGGAGCCGGCTTCCCAGCCAATCGGGAAGCCAGGGGGCGAGTCATTACCTGCACCCCCCGGCTTCTTGATTGACCGGGAAGCCGGCTCCAAGCTGCCTGCTAACGAGGGGGCATGGAGCCGGTTTCCCAGGCCAATCAGGAAGCCGGGCAGCGTGTCATGACTCGCCGCCTGACCTCCTGATACCGGAGAAGTTCCGATATCGGGATAAGTATGGGGAGCATTTGGTCGAGTACAAGTACCCGCAGGGGCGTAACTAGAAATCACAGGGCCCCTGAGCAAAATTTTGTATGGGGCCCCGTGATTTCTAGTTACGCCCCTTTCAGAGCCCCCCTGAGATCCCACACAGCCCACCTGAGAGTGACCCTGCAGAGCCCACCATAGACTTTCTATGATGGGCTCTGCAGGGTCTCAGGTGGGCTGGTCACACCCCTGCACACCTCTTACCTGTCAGCCCCAATCCCCTGTCAGCTTCCATCACCGCCAGGCCCCACCTCCTCCTCCCCGGTCGCTGGCAGGCCCCACCTCCTCCTCCCCGGTCGCTGGCAGGCCCCCCCTCCACCTCCTCTAATGCCAAAGCCAGGCCCTGCCTCCTCCTCCGCAGCTGCTGGCTGTCATTGACTCAGCAGCGGCAGTGAGGAGGAACGCGCCGCGACACAGATCACCGACAGGTTGTCAGTGATCAGAACAATAGCGAGTTCCTCCTCACAGCGGCCAGTGACAGCCAGCAGCCTCCGCTGCCATAGTGACCCCAGGCAGCCCTCACAGCATCAGGGGGACCCCTTTGTCCCTCGTCCTGGCCAGGCTCCCACTGTGCCCCATAGCGGCCGCCTGGGTCACTATGGTGATAGTTCCGCCACCGAGTACTCACCCAAATACTTGGTATCGGCACTGACACTAGTATCAGTATATCCCTACCATTCACCACACACAATGCAGTTCCAGCCAGCAGTAAATAATCAGACACTTACCTTCAGCGGCTGGGGGCTGATCTGCAAGTTGTAACCTTCCGCGTACAGGTACTGCTCCCACCCAAACATAAAGAGAAGTATAAAATATAAGTGAATGGACGACGTGACCAAGTGTTATACAAACTTACAGAAGCTGAAGACGCATCATGTAAACTTATCGGTCTATATATAAAGAAAACTAAAATTGCATAGATATTTGTTCAGTGAATCTGCCTGTACATTCACGCTGTGTGAATGAAACCAGCCGTTGTGAGAACGCGGCAAATTCGAATGTTCTCGGGTTATCGTTTCCTCTGCTGGAATGTTCTTCATGTATTATGGGCAGTATTCATAATAGGCTCCTTCATAAAGAACAGAGCGAATGGGGAAATACCACATTGTGGCCACCAGGTGGCGCTGATGGTCACAGGAAATAAATACATCCTAATAACAAGAGATACAATGTAACAATTGTAGAGGACACTGGAGGGAATCAGCAGATAAATGTCACCATTGCTACTACACGGGTCTGTGCTTTCACTTAACCCTCTCGCTGCCAGGGCATTTCCTAAAAGCACAGACCCAGCAGAATTAAATGGCAGCGGTTGTAAATATCCAAGCTGTTTGGCCGGCTCAAGACTGGTGGGTCATTACAAGACTGAAGGGAAGGCCTGAGGTCAGATAGAGGACTGAAGGGAAGGCCGGAGGTCAGATAGAAGACTGAAGAGAAGTACGGAGGTCAGAAGACTGAAGGGAAGGACAGAGGTCAGATAGAAGACTGAAGGGAAGGACGGAGGTCAGATAGAAGACTGAAGGGGAGGCCGGAGTTCCGCTTTAATGAAGGTGAGATTCAGAATAACACGTCATGTGACCTTCCTGTACCTGATATTCGGGTGTGATAATCCGGTCCTCGCCTTCCATACAGCCCTGAGGATAGAGGGCGCTCCCACAGCTTTCCTCTGTCCTCCTCTCACTGCTGCCACCTGTAGGAGACACACAGACATGGCGGCTCAGAGAACCCAGCAACGCTGATGTATGAAATCTCTATTCACAGGAAGACGCTCCTCTTACCCACTGAGCGGGGAGGCTGCGGGGGGGTATGCACGTCGCTGTCCTTGTGTATCACCGAACGGTCCCATTCCCTCAGGGACAAGCCGGAGACTTCCTCACACTTCACTGCAACCTGGAATGTAGAAGTGTAAAGAGAACCGGTCATCACTAGTACAATATCTGCATCATCAGTCTTTATTACTAGAACTGCGCAGGCCTCCTCACTCAGGATTTGTACTTTCCTCTCATCATTCTCTAGATGGAATATTGGGGACTAGAGACTCGCTGCCCGTCAACTGCCTGACGTGACATGCTGCACACTCAGGAGCTGGGAGACAGCATACCCCCCTCCTGACAATGTCCTCCTCTACTGATCACTGAGGAAATGCTTCCTCCTACCTGCAACAGACTGATCACTGGGGGAGGGGAGACTGAGGAAATGCTTCCTCCTGCCTGCAGCAGACTGATGACATCATCTCTGCCTAGGCAGTCACTGGACTGGAGCTCAAAGATGGCGCTTGATAAAAGGTGGCGCTTTCCTGAAAGAAAAGAAAAAATTGTCACCTTTTTGGATTCCTCCTGAGGGGTCTTCACAGGTTGCAGGTCCATTGGGTCATAGCTGCTGTCCTCGGTCCCAGAGTAAGTGCAGGACTCCGCTGCGGGGCTCGCAGTCCTACTTCCTCTGTCCGGCGTGGAAGGGACACTGCCATCTTTGAGGTGCTCACGTGGCTTTCTCACGACAACAAAATCCTACACAATGACCCGGAGAAAAAATATATTGTCACCCTCCTATCATGTGACTGACCCCCACAGTGACGCTGCACCCTCCGATCATGTGACTGACCCCCACAGTGACGCTGCACCCTCCGATCATGTGACTGACCCCCACAGTAACGCTGCACCCTCCGATCATGTGACTGACCCCCACAGTGACGCTGCACCCTCCTATCATGTGACTGACCCCCACAGTGACGCTGCACCCTCCGATCATGTGACTGACCCCCACAGTAACGCTGCACCCTCGGATCATGTGACTGACCCCCACAGTGACGCTGCATTCTCCTATCATGTGACTGACCCCCACAGTGATGCTGCACCCTCCGATCATGTGACTGACCCCTATATACCCGCACACAGTGCCCTCACCTCTTTGGTCAGTAGGTGAATGACCTCCAGGGTGAGGTTCAGGAGTTTTTCTATGATCAGATCTTTGTTCCTGTCCAGGGTCAGCGTGTGACGTATGTGTTCCATCAACTGGACCTCCATGTCTGCTGGCAACGTCTGAGGAGAGAATACAATGATGGTGCCATTGCTCCTGAGATCATCATTGGATGATAGTGTTTATAGAGGAGCTTACTAAACACACGGGGAGGGGTCACGGAGGAAAAGCACACACGGGGAGGGGTCATGGGGGAAAGCACACATGGGGAGGGGTCATGGGGGAAAGCACACATGGGGAGGGGTCATGGGGGAAAGCACACATGGGGAGGGGTCATGGGGGAAAGCACACATGGGGAGGGGTCATGGGGGAAAGCACACATGGGGAGGGGTCATGGGGGAAAGCACACATGGGGAGGGGTCATGGGGGAAAGCACACATGGGGAGGGGTCATGGGGGAAAGCACACATGGGGAGGGGTCATGGGGGAAAGCACACATGGGGAGGGGTCATGGGGGAAAGCACACATGGGGAGGGGTCATGGGGGAAAGCACACATGGGGAGGGGTCATGGGGGAAAGCACACATGGGGAGGGGTCATGGGGGAAAGCACACATGGGGAGGGGTCATGGGGGAAAGCACACATGGGGAGGGGTCATGGGGGAAAGCACACATGGGGAGGGGTCATGGGGGAAAGCACACATGGGGAGGGGTCATGGGGGAAAGCACACATGGGGAGGGGTCATGGGGGAAAGCACACATGGGGAGGGGTCATGGGGGAAAGCACACATGGGGAGGGGTCATGGGGGAAAGCACACATGGGGAGGGGTCATGGGGGAAAGCACACATGGGGAGGGGTCATGGGGGAAAGCACACATGGGGAGGGGTCATGGGGGAAAGCACACATGGGGAGGGGTCATGGGGGAAAGCACACATGGGGAGGGGTCATGGGGGAAAGCACACATGGGGAGGGGTCATGGGGGAAAGCACACATGGGGAGGGGTCATGGGGGAAAGCACACATGGGGAGGGGTCATGGGGGAAAGCACACATGGGGAGGGGTCATGGGGGAAAGCACACACGGGGAGGGGTCACGGGGGAAAAGCACAGACGAGGGAAAGCATACACAGGGAGGGGGCACGCACAGGGAGGGGGCACGCACAGGGAGGGGTCTACTTCTGAAACCATGTGCTAATAGTTTAAAATCCTGGCCATCATTAAATATGCAAACTTTGCTTCACAGTGCACCTGGTCAGCCTTAAAGTGACATTAAACCCTCAGATTTTTTTAACATAAACCAATACTGTGATGTGCGCCTTACTGTGATCCATGGTTGTTTCCCTTCTCTTTGCTGCTCTTCCTTTTAAATCTGTATCTCTTCTCATGCTGGGCAGAACTTCTGTTTTGTAGCAGACTGCCTTGTCTCTGGAATGGATACATGGTGTCTGTGTGTAGGTTCACAACCTGAGCCAGCAATACAGGAAGAGGCCCTCAGCTGCAAAGGGAAGTTCTCCCCAAGCATGAGAAGAGATGAGGATTTAAAAGGAAGAGCAGCAAAGAGAAGGGAAACAACCATGGATGACAGTAAGGCGCACATTACAGTATTGGTTTATGTTAAAAAATCTGAGGGTTTAATGTCACTTTAAGGTGCAGGCTCTGCTTACTGCTCTGTAAAACACCTGATATAACTACAGCCACTAAAGCAGGAAGACTTTAATTTCTATGGACGTGATAACATAATGAAAATATGGTACAGCAAACATGAACGTGATAAATGACAGTACAATGACAACCCGGAATAGGGACTTCCTATAGGTTTCACTTTTAAAATATTGGCAGCTGTGCCAGACTCTGCCACCCAGCTTTCCTCCAGAAAGTGACAGGGACCCAGGGGTCCCCAATCCTCCAAAATCCCAGAAGAGGACAGACATAACACTACACCCCTCATACCTCTTCAATCCCGGTGTATCACAGTGTGACTGATACACTGAATCGCCGCATCCTGACCCCAGTCAGGCTCCGCGCCAGAGGGTTATGGGAATTGTAGTCTTCCTCTCTGAGAAACGCGAGTCTCCGTGAAACGTGAGAACTACAACCCCACAATCCTTTGCGCCAGCCGTCAGCGTCCGATTGACTACAAGGTAAACAAACAAAGCTGTCCCCAACACAGGGCCAGCGGCTGTAAGCTAACCGAGGGGCGGCGGCCATGTTTATGTAGACTAATCAGAATGAGGCAGCAGCCATGTTTGCGTAGATTCATTGAAAGATGACAGCAGCCATGTTTATGTAGACTAATCAGAAGCAGGAGGCAGCCATATTTCTGTAGACCTAAAGCAACTGAAGGGAGTTTGGTGGACCCAACATTTTAATGTTTTTTTTAAGGTGCCCACACACCTTACAATTTATCTGCAGATTTTCTGTGGTCAGATGGAAAACGTGCAACAGATTGGCCCAGGTGGAGATTCCTCCATCCACACAGTTAAGTGTAGATGGAGAAATCTGTTGCACCTTTTCCATCTGACCACAGAAAATCTGCAGATACATTGTAAGGTGTGTGGGCAGCTTAAGTGACATTTTGCATATTGATTTTTTTTATACTTAATGGAGTTAAACAAGGTTGATGTTTATGTTAAACAATAAATAAGAATACCCATTGCAAGAACAAAAAATGTAATATATGGCAGCCTACCAGACCATAGGTGTGGCAGCTGCATTTGTTTTCTTTTTGTACGCTATTTTGAGCTGCCAGTAACACACTTCCTTTCCTGGGTGACAACATTCACTCACTAAATCTATGGCGCAGCCATGGTTGCAACTAGGGATGCACCGATACTGGTTATTCGGTATCGAGTACCAATACTTTGCTTTCAGTACTCGCCGATACC